AAGTGCGCGGATCTCATCAAAGAAGACAACCAATTGTCCGACAGAAATATCAATCGACAGGGAATTCATGTCGAGTCTTTCAATCAGTTTCGTCGCCGTTAAACTACTTTAAACACCATTTATTTATTTTCATTCAATTTGTTAAGAGTTTCATTTAATTAGTGTTTGTATTGATTGTGTGTATTGTCTATGATTTGTAGTTAAATTGCTATTTGATGTCATTATTTATAAACTGTATGTCACATAAGTATAAGTCACTTAAGTGTAAAATCAAAAATTTATTTATTGTAAAGTGAAATAAATATAAATTAAATCCCCGCAGACATAATAGCATGCCTGCGCCCCCCATACCCTGACAATTAGCTTAAAAACGGCCTAAACAATATTTTATTTTATATATTTTACATACTTTATTTATTAAATGCTTTAATATTTAATATTTTATTCAATATTTATCGTTTTTGCTTAAATTTTGTTTAGTATTGATTGTAAAAATCTATATTAAAGCGTATGTATTGTTGTTTTTAATGTTTTTGAAAATTTTAATTATTGTGAATTCAAAATTTTGTTTATAACAATTTATTGCCGTATTGTACAAATAACAAATTGTTTAAAAGTTTACTATCTATTAATAACTTGCATTATTTGATACATCATTCATCATCTTAATTGTCATATGAAATAATGTTACAAATATATTAATCGGAAACTTATAATTAGAAAGCCATTTAAAATGTGCTGAAAAGCTATTTTTAAATGTTTATCCATTCATTGAAAATGAAAGAAAAGTGTATTCCTATGTGTCAGTGATATGTCTGAGCCTTATATGATATGAGTTATATCACAATGTCGTGTAGGTGACATTTCATGTCATGTTAACTTGGCGTTAAATATCGTTTTGTTTATAAACGACAATTATACGCCAACTTCACTCACTTGTGAAAAGTGCGTATCTCAAACTCACAACTCCAAAAGAACCAAAAAATTACCAATACATCTATATTTCTATATTATTTATTATTATACTTATTTATACTTATACTGTAGTAATCATAATATTCTTGACTCCAAAATTCATATATAATATATTGTTTGGCGAGAGGTTTGCAGTCGTGTCTCGAAAAACATTACTCTCCAAAACATTAGCGACAAAACACTTGAAACACACATTCAGTTTTATAATTGATAGCATTAAACAGAGTTATGCTGTTGTGGTTAAGGAAAAAACAATCATGATTTTGATCCATCATATCGTTCACTATCACTGTTATTGTTATTATTTATTATCAACGCTAATAATGTGTGAGAATATGCTATAATGAAGTGCATCGGCGGCAGCGATGGTCCGCACAATTTCCTGTCCACAAAACTAATACTTTTGGTTTTATACGTGTCTATTATATGCCTATCTATAGTGGACTCAATCTATTTCACTCCTCCACACAATTCATTGGCTTTCATCACAAATATTCGTTCAATTCTTGTTTACTATTTCGCTATAATTGTATTCGTGGTAAATATAATCGCTGTCTTCATCGCCAACACAATCGCACTCATCATAACGACCAGCTTTACATCCCTATTGCTAATAGCGATACCATCGATGATCATTAATGTGATTCCCTGTCTATTGACTTACTTTAATTTATTGATGATTATAATTGTGTCGATTGTATATATCGTTCAAATCACAAGCAATGGATTCTCAAACGCCGACCATATATTCAGCGGCGCTTCACAAACACATAACACATACTTCGCCTCAAAGGACGAGACATCTCTTCCCGCGACTGCTATTTAACAGACAATCAATTCATTGTGTTTTTGATCGCTTATTGAGTTGTTATTGTTATCGACAATATTTTGTGGCAAATTCTGTATTTATTTTGCAAATTCTTACTCAAAATATACCAAAATAAATATAACTTTGAGAATGCCATTCATTTATTATTTAAATTGTTTGTATAAACTATCTGTTTATATGAGTTTAAAATAATTTGTGTTAAATATGTGTTTATATAGTGTTAACAACAACAAAAAAATGTTTCTAATTCCTTATAAATTAACTTAAATCTTATTTTTATTTTTTTTGAATACTTTTTAAATCATATTTTTATTTTCAATGTTTTGCAAACTTTCAATACTTTGAAAACTTTCAATACTTATACCAAATGGTGTGTGGAGTGGAGTATCGCTGTTTGACTTTTAAAATGTGATTAACAATAATAATGCTATAAAATAATAGTTAAATAAAGACAATAAATACTTTTGGACGTCTGCCCGCATTCCCACCACAAAAACATATATACAGATACTGTATGTCAGTATTGGAAAGGCATTAAAATGTCTTATAATTATCGGAACAGAGTATAAGATTCAGAGGAATAACTAAGATATACATAAATTAGTTGTAAAAGAAATAATAGATTTAATTATAAACCCAAAACCAAAATGCATTTCTATAAATATCTATAACTGATGCTAAAACCAAAACACCAGTTGTGTCTCATATCAAGAATTATAAACGAAAACTTTTGATTTTTCTATCGACTAAACATTTCTCGCAAATTAATATCTCGTAAGTCATGTCAGCCAACAGTCAAAAGCCATTCATTCATATAATCGTTGAATGTTTGCGAGTTTTGCTTATATTTTTCAATCTCTTAATTATAACAATTAGTTTATTGATCGCCGTTTTAATTGGTTTATTGCGGACACAAGTGTTTGACTGGCAATCAAATGATGACAGAAATAATGTGTATTTTATATGCGTTTCCGTCACTTTACTTCTCGTCTATGCCTTCAACCACTTAATAGCCATTTATGCGATCACTTTGTGTCTAATTAATCATTTAATTGTCACAACAATTATTGCCAGTATTTGTGTAATTGTTTTGATTTTAAAACTGCCGACAAATATATTTCTGGTTATTTTATTGGATATCATTTTCTCCATTATATATACGATTCTTATTCAACACAATCTTCACATTAAAAGTGTTGCCAAACAGCAGAATATGTCTCCAATTATTCATCGAAATTCTGTGCATTTTTCAAACCATATTCAGCACTCTTTTGAAGGCCTTTAACCAAAGAAAGCCTCAAATTCTTAAGCATTCTTTGACTCAAATGAAGATTTTGTGAGGGAATGTGTATTAGATTTCTACAAAATATAGTTAATTATAAGTTAGTCAACGATTTTGTGCTTAAAATAAAAGTATTTTTAAATAATTATGAGCATAATTGTAATTAATTATTGCATTTATTTTTAAAATTTTAATGTTGGTGTAATAGTGTATATTTTCTTTATTATTTTAGATAAAATTGCGGATTATTAAAATTTTTATTGTATTTCAATCTATAATTTTTCATTTTAACAAATTATGTTTTGAAAATAACAAATAACTGTCTAATATTTACTCTAATTAACTAGATTCAAAAATTAAACTTTTTAAAAATAAATTATTTAATAAATAAATGTATAAAACTTATTGATGTGTTGTATATTAGAATAAATAAATTTTCCAATGACTTGTATAATATTTTTATTTAAACAGAAAACATAGATTTTATTAACATGTAATTTTAAAAATAGATTTATTGAAATTTTTAAAATACAAACAATTAGTACAATATATAATTTTATTATAGTTTTTATTACAATTATATTATAGTTCTTTCACAGTATAACCAAATAAGTAATGTAAACAAAATTGTGTTTATAATTCTTGTTTCAAAGGCACTATAAATCGGCAAATTATATGTATTTTTCACTCGCTTTTCAATCACTTCATGAATAACTTACACAACATTATAATTAAGCAAATCATCAGAAATATTTGCTAAACGTTTAATGTATTCTTCATTTAATATCATTTCAATACAATGTCTTGTTTTATTAAATTAACTTTTAAAATAACAAAAGTTTTGCTAATTGTGTTAAATGTTATATTAATAACAATAATGATTGAATTTGTTGTCATCGATAAAATCTCTATATTACGTAAATTTAACAAAAATAAATTTAGATATTATAATCACTCGTTTAATTTGTTGGAAAAATATTTAAATGAAACTTTAATTATAATACTTTATGCTATCAATCATATAATTTTGTTGTTGAGTGCACTTTATTATAGTTATAAAAGTATGGTTTGCTTTACATTTGTTATATCTATTATGTTTATTCTTGTGGTGAGTGTATTGGACGCAAACACCAATATAATAATTATTAAATTATTGATTATTCTCGTAACAGTTACTTATATGTGTTTTATTAGAAATAATGCCCATAATGTAAACCCAGATTATTGTGATTTGTATTGCGAACAACTTTAAAGTGAATTTTTTAAAAACAAATTATTAGTCTATAAATAGACAGAGAATTCGATCGCAAGAAGGGATCAGACATTTGGTGAAGAAAGAGACGACAGAATGGATTAAAATGTCATTTCATTTGTTAATTGGATTCCAAACAGCGTTTGGATTTATGCCAATAATTTGCGCTAAAATATTGATATTTATTTAAATATTATGTCCAAAAAACAATTCTTCAATTATACAAACAATTAATTTTAAATATTTGTTGTTTTTATTTTCAGTAACTCATATGCTTTGAATTTTATGTTTTTTAATACTGTAATAACTTTATAATAATAATAATAATAATAATAATAATAATAATAATAATTAGTAATTAATAATTACTAATTATTAATTACATATAATTTTAAATTAATTGAAAAATGTAAATTATAAATTCAGCTATGTTTAATGAGTATATGTGTAGTAAAATTTACAATTAGCATTTGTGCAGTACACTGAGCATTTAAAAACAAATTGTTTTATAATTTATTTAAAATTTTGAATTTATGTTAAAATATTTAATATTGACAATAAAACTTCGCTCGATTACAGACATCACAATTAGTGTAATTCATTCAATTAATTCATAAATTCTTGCAAACGTATGGCTCGAATAATGCTGTCTTTGGAGTTCAAACATTAGCCGCTTTCGGTTGAAACAACTTCTCTCTGCCGTCTCTGAAGTGGAGTCGAGTGGACAAAGAGTTGGTGTAATCGCGGGACACAACGCACAGGAACTCTGCCTGTTGTTCATTAGAGCCAATATTAATCAATTGCTCGAACTTCCAGCCGTCGGACAGGGAGGAGACCACGTGTGTCACCTCATCCTCATGGCATTGCAACACTCGGTGCACATGTTTGCCAATGTTGTCCGCTTTTTTCCGGTCAGCGATGCGTTGCTTTAATAGCTCTATTAATTGGGTTATGTTATAAAACTCTGCCTCTTCTAACACTCCCTCTTCCGATAAGTCATTATCGATAATGAGTTTTCCGTGTCGTAAGTAATTAAGGATTGGCCCGAAATATGACGGATCCCTATCGATAAGATACGCTCCCGAGTCGTCCTTTAAATGTATCAAATCAGTCAATCAAACGGATCGGCAAATCAAATGATGACTTACTTTATCGCTATTTAGGTCGTGATCTTCTTGACAGAGTCTGTATAGAAATGAGTGCCGATCTCTGCATAACGTAATTCTAGTGGTCATGAATTGAGTGCCGCCGACATTCAATTTGATCCATTCGTTGGATCTTCTCTGTGGTACGAGTCGTGACAATTGGGACAAAGAGATCCCTGTCTTCATCTCGTCGGAGACGGTAACAGCAGAGCCAGTGATTTGTGGACTATTGGCAGCCATTGATCAGTTAAATGAAGACTTGTCTTAAGTGGTATTTTTCAGTCGACGCCTAAATTTACTATTATTATAATTCTTTGCATTAACGTCACGAATAAACACTTTATTGTTTATTGTAAAGTAATGTATGTTTACATTGAAAGTTATGTAACAGTTGCTGATTATATAAGAATAATATTGTTAAGTAGTTGAACATCAGGTAATATTCTGTGGCATAATTTGTTGTGAAAATTAATTTTTTCTAATTTATTGTATGGAATTGTTTTGTATATTAAACGTGCTGTCAATGTGTCAAAAGCCTGTTTACCAAATATAAAATGTAAAAATAATTTTGTATAACAACTTAAATATTAAGGAAAATCACTTTTTTAGTTTCCATCTAAAAGTACGCTATTTTTAAAACTCATGTCAATTCAAATCAATCAATCAAAATATTTTTGCTGTAGTTTTTTCATAAGAATTTTGCTGCAAAATCATGCGATAATTATCATTAAATTTATTTATTTACACAAAATCTTTATGACTAAAAGACTAAATATGAGAACACGAGAGAGAGAGAGAGAGAGAGAGAGAAAATAAAGTCTAAAATTTTTCATTACTCGGAGGAAACTCTAGGCTTGGGCTCTGATAATGGCATAACTGTAGCTCTTATGGTATATGNAGAGAGAGAGAGAGAGAGAGAGAGAGAGAGAAATGAATACTATTTAAGATTAGGATCTTAAGCATTAAGCAATTTTAATAGTAGTTTTTTTCAAAGCACTTAATGTTATGAAACATTATTGAAATTTGTGCACTCAAAACACAAAACCATATATTTTTTTTGTTACTCAAAGCAAAATAGCGTTTACTAAAGTGTGATATAATCACCAGAAGTTTGTAAAAAATTGTTTGGATTTTGTCCAAAAACCGGCGAAAAAGTACTGAAACACAACATATTTTAAACACACATATATTCCGGGAGTGAGAGGGCGAGAGAGAGTACAGACAAAAATACGGTAATAATAACAGTGACTACAAAATGATTTAAAATAGTCTCAAAAAACTAAATATTTAGCGTAAAGTCTGTGTTTGTGAAGAGATTTTTAAGTTAGCAAAAGTGAAAATGCTTGCCTCAATTCAATCACTAGTTTAACAATTTTAAACGAAAAACTCCACTTTTAAGCTGAAAACCATTGATTCTATCAAACAATTATTATTATTGCTTTTAAGCCACAAAAGACGTAAAATTATGGCCAAAGACGTTAACATTCACTTCGAGTGTATTAAATATGTGTTAATTGTATTGTATTTACTAATTGTGTTAATACTGATAATCAATATATTCCTATCGATGCTATTATACGGCGCGAAGTTGTCGACAATAATCGCCTTTTACGACAGTTGCGAGAATCTGTGCAACGATTCACGCGATATGAATAACTATATTTACCACGATTTGGCCTCTTTTATAGCCATCATTGTCTTCTTCGGCGTTGTGGCCAATCAAGTGATCGCAATCATCGGTGTGTTTCGGCACCAGTGGTGTGTCTGTGCGGTCACCACATTCTTCAACATTATTGTCGCTCTCTTTGTGGTCAATCTGATCAGAACTAACATGTTTTTAGTCCTTTTGTTTGCCATTTTAATGTCTGTCGTATTTATGGTTTACATTAGAAATATGACCAAAATTAGTGCCGCAATCGATCACAAGAATTCAAATGATGTATCAAATAACACAACGCCTATCGTCTATTGCCCCCATCATAATGAAAGTTTGTGCTAATTATTGTATGTTTTATGCGTACAGTATATAATACTTAATTATCATTGTTTTTTAATTAACATTTATCATGTTTTTATATTGGGTTAAAATTGTTTTGTAAAAATATGAAACAATTCTAATCAAATTTATTTATAACAATATTTATTTATACAATATTTATGTTAACTTACAATATATTAAATTATAAATATATTTAGTTTATTCAATGAAAAATGTATTTAGATTTAAATGCATTAGATCTTTGACGTTATATTCGGTATATAAGTTAATGACAAAAGTATTTTCATATTGTAATAAATATAGATATTAAATAAATATTAAATATTGTAAAAATGTATGAGAATACTTTTTCATTGATGCCAAAGTAAAAATAAAAATGTTAATTTAACAATTTTTTGTTTATTTTTGGTAACAATTGTGATGTCTGTCAGACAACTACTGTTGTTCGGCCTCTGAGACAGTGGACAGGTTTGAGACGGTGTCGTCTATATTAACTAACCTTGGTCAAAAACAAATTGTGAATAAATGGTCCGAAATGGGGGTCGAACTCAAGGTTTCGCATTGATTTGTACGTCACCCCCATTGCTCTACATAAGGATTTAAATCATTTATTTAATGCATTAATTGTACATTTTTAAACTAAATTAATTATTGTAAATTTCGGAAACTGTTATTTTATTTAATTATGCAATAAAATTACTTACATTCATAAGAGAATATATTATTGAAGATTTAATTATAAATTGACAGCAAATAAACTGATTAACAATAAAGTGAAATATTTATATCAATTTGAATTCAAAGTGGACAACATTTTATCATGTTTTTCATTACAGATGTCTACCGAAACCGTCGCCCAAACCTCTCATCTGCGGAACCAATTTGTTATTAATGTTATCGCTGATCTTTTTGTCCAATCTCTTCGACTCGTCCTCCAATACTGTACTCTTCTCAGTGCCTAAACCTTCAATTTGATTGTCAATTATGGTCTTCTGATTAGTATATTCTTTGTTAAGCTCTTGTTTTGTGGCCAAAAACGTATCGTTCACTTCTTTGAGATACGTTTCGAGTTGCAAAACCTGTTTATCCAATGTTTTCAAACGCGTCAACGTATCGATGGCGTGGACTCTGAGCTCTTTAATCTGCTCTTTGGCTCTATTCTCGGCCAAAGTCGTCCGATTCCTCACTGCTTCCAGAATATTCTGAAACCCGGACTTCACTTGAGTCGTACCATCGCGTCCTCCCTCTACAATGCATTGCAATTATTTGGGAATAGAAATACATTATTAACTGAATATTATGTTTAATAATTAATAATTATTTTGAATATTTTATAATAATAGTTTATATTTAATAATAAGTTATCTCAAACCAATAGAGTCGACAGGATTTCTGTTGAACACAGGAAGACGTCGCCTAAAAGTGTTGGGACGGCGTTGAGATGAATCTCTATTATTCTGACCCACATTTTGTGCCTCAATTAAGACACAAAACAGTGTCACCAAAATTACAATCGATTTCATAGCTATTCTCATTGTTTGATAAATCAAATACCAGTAACTATTGATTGCAAACTGAGTTTAAACTGATTTACTGTCGATTATATATGAGTGTAATCTGTATGGCAAATGAATGGCCTCTACTTTTGTTGAAACAATGAGAAATTATGCGAAAACTTTTGCTTATAATATATTTTCCAATCTCTCTGTCTGTTTAACGGATGCATTAGTTTTACGTCATTTCACATCAGTTTTCATAAATCTTTGTTTCAAAACGTTGTGTAAAACAATATAACTCTTTATATTTCATAGTAAAATGTGTTTAAAACTTCAATTCGTAAAAACAGACATCAATTTGTAGACAAAATAAATAACTTTTTATAAATACATATCTATTCAGAATATAAATAATAGTTTGATTCTATGTTAGCATTGAAAAAGATTGACAACTAAATTGATTATAATATCAATCAAAAAATTCAAGTTTTGGTTCATTATTATAGCATTAGGTAACGAAAATTCCCAAATAAATACAAAGGAAATTACATGTTTAGAACATTATTATTTTTATATTTATGGTTATGTTTGTCAAGTATTTTTTATTTTGTGATAATTTCAAAATTTTGGTCAAAACATTATAAATAATTTGTACAATTGTTTGAAGTGTAGTTGTGAAAATAACACTTGCTCTAAAATCTAACTAGACTTGGTAATTTTGAAAAATTTTACTTACGAAAATTTTTTTACACCTACTTACACTCACGGGAAATTGTATTAACTATTGTCAAGCACATTCACTCACGGTATTTGTAAAAATGTTCACGTTCACTCACGATCACGGCCCGTGATAAATGCGTAAACGTGACACTTTTATCAAAACTAAATCTAACTTAAGTGCATTATTTTTTAGGTTCACATTAACCAATAAATTCTAATATAACAGTATTAGAAAATATATTGTTTTATTATTTTAAATAATAATACAAGCGTTATAATTGACATATGATAAATTGAAATTAATATAAATTGGTTAAAATACGCAACCATAGTCTATAACGTAAAATACGAATAAATTGTTAATTTATTATCATTAGGATTATGTAACATGTTTATAATCTTAACTAAAAACATCTATTCCTAGTTCTTAATAGTTTTTGAATATTTATTATCAAGTGCAAGTTATTTAATATTAATAATATGATAGTCAGCATTAAATAGCAATTATTAACATATAAATTAATATAAACAATGAGATAACTGAATATTATTGTATTTATAAAAGTAAATGTTTAACAAAACTTGATTATTCATAAAAAAATAACTCGTAATAAATTCTCATTAATTTGCATTAAATGTCTCAAATGTTCATTACATTGAATTTCCTACTTTTAATCGTCTATTTATCATTCAATTCAATATTTAATGTCAATTTAAAAATTCTTTGCATGCATTTTATTTATATAATGAGATATTTATCGTACAATTTATTCATACAATTTGTAATTCAATATGCTTGTATGTAAAATTTTACAAATTATTTCTATAAAAGTTACAAATATATTAAATATCTATTCATTTATTTTCGTTATTTAAATAAATTTTTGCGACCAAAATATTTGATAATTAGTTTTGACGTAATTTATACCAAACATATGATTGCGTAATCAATTGTGAGGGAAACGGTGTATGACATCACTGGCCGTACAATTCACACCATTTACAGTATACACACCGGACTATCACATCCAATAAACTGACCCTCATTATAATGAGCAATAATGACCATGTTAATAAAGTCATCACAATTTATACTGTTCAAATAATTACAGACAATATCAGGTATAGTACACGAAAAGCGGGACTAAACAGTGTATAAGAGGTGTAGAGTGTATGCAGTGTTTGATTGTTTGGTGAAATAAATAGTAAAATGAATTTCAATGCAAAGCATATAATAAACAAAAAACAATGAAATTCATTGCTTTTCATTGAAATGATATGTTTTGTTACGACAAGTGATTGAATGCTTTGTTATAATTGCCATTCAATTCAGTCAATCAATCAGTCATTCAATTAGACATTACTTTAATCTCAATGTGTTTTTGCGATCGTTATTAACGCTAATAGCGATTAGTCTATGATTTAAGTGTGCATTGCATGCGATTGTCTCAACTCTAGTCCCACTCACGAGTTAGTGGACACACACTGTCTGTGTGTCCGAAGACATTAGCATTGAGTGCGAGTTTGCGATCGATTGAGAGCTGATCCGGAAGAATATGGCGAACGACCAGTCATTTAGTTATCGTTTAGTGAAGATATCGCTAATTATATTGAATTCATTGGTTGTCATTGGATTCACGTTAAGTCTGTTACTCATTGGCCACCACTTGGACTCATCGGTCGTCATATTTGTACTCATTATCGGTAATTGAGTCTTACATTTACCATCATTTGCATTATGCCATCACTTGATCTGATCCATGGCTTTTACCATAGGTTTAGTATTAGGCTTATGAGTGTATTTCTGGCATTAAGTGTTGCCTTCAATACATATTTTTTATTGTATTTTTTAAGTGTTTATTAGTTTAAAGTTTCATTTTATTAAACCATTCATTCAATTGATATTTAAAAGCCTTGAAATGAAATAATGATTTTTTGCTAATATTTATGCAAATTATTTGCGTTTAAAACTAGTTTTTTGATTCAATATATGAATTGTATGTGAATTTTAATCAAAAATGTGTTTTTATTTGTTTATCTCAAACCGCTATTGATTTTCATGGCTTTCAAACTTAAACACGTATTTAAATGTCAATTGTTTTACTCATTAATTTTAATTATATGTTTTAATTTTGAGAGCAAAATATTTTAATCATTTCTATGGTTTTAATGCTATTTTAATTGCCCTTTTAGTGACCGGTTTGACCCCCGTTTCAATCAGTGGTTATATTTTTAATTAAAATTTAGTTCATTATTATATCACATGAAAATTAGGGAAATTTTAATGAACAACACATTAATGAAAGTTTTTTAGTCTATTTATGAAAATTATAAATATTTGTCTTCAATTCATTCATTAATTCAAAACAATAATTCAATTAATGATTGAAATAAATGTTATTTTGTTATTGTATTCACACATTAAGATATCTTTAATGAGATATTGCTGTAAATATCATACGTTTATTGCAAACATTACCGCAATTAGTGTTTAATTTAATGATAAAAATATATTTTTTTACCAAAATATCATGCGTTCACACCATTAAGTGTTGGAAATTAAAAACATATTTTGCATTTAATTAATTGTAATTTATATCGTAAACAAGCAAATTATGTGTTTATTTGCGTTTATAATAGCTTTCACACGAATCGCACGTCATTTACAAAATACATTAAAATTTTTTGCATTATTTAAGAAAAAAATCTATTAATAAATACAATATTTTTGTTTGGCTTAGAATCCAATTTCGTGGCGGCGATTGTGGGCGCTATACGTGAGTCGAGGCCACTGGTGTTGACCACCGGTTCCATAACGTTAATGATATTACTGTTGGCGGCATTTTCGCGGACCGAACGGACACAGAACACGACATTCACTTTACTCTACTTCTTGGCGATTGTGATGCTTTCGTACGCCTTCTCAGCGATGCTTAAAGAGCGCCAATTGAGAGGCGTTTTGGGACACCGATCGGCCGCTAACGGCGGTCGCCAACTGAGCGCAGCGGCCACTGCCGCCAGCGAAGCGCCCTTCGCGGCGGTGATTGTGTACGACTCGCCGGCGCAGCACTCACTACAAGTAGCCCTTCCGATGTCACCGCATTCGCCGCTTCCCGACTCGGAGGCCAACAACAGTTTCAAAGACCCGCCGCCGCCCTATGAGGAGTGTCCGCCCCCTAAGTACGAAGACGTGACGACAATCGACAACAACAGACCCCCCTTCTAGAGCTTAACGCCTGTTATTCGTTGGACTATTTCATTGATTTGTTATGTTTTTTATGTTCACTTTATTTTTCCCTACATTTTGAGAATTGTATGCCTTTTTGTGATATAAATGACACGCAATGTCTTCAAAATAAGTCTTTAAACATTTTACTCGTTTTAATCTCATTATAGTTTCTCAATGTTTACTCAAAATAGTTTTTTAATTGATTAGAATTTTTAAGTTATTTATATGATTTAATTTAGTTTTTAAATGACTTTATTTATACAAATAATACATGAATTATAGAAATCATGATTACAAATACTTTTAATTCCCAGACATTTGTCACATTTTAGGCAATTTTTATTAAACAATGGATTATTTTTAATCAACACTTTAACTAAACTAAAAGCGTATTATATTTTATAGCATTTGTTAATTATGAATCAATTAATTATTTAAACGATATATTTTTACTAAAAATGCGCTAATTTTGTGTATCTAAACGAGAATTTTGTGACCGAATTGATGAGATTATAAAATATATCGACTTTAAAACCATGAATTTTTCTATTGTTCAAAAGTATCGCGAATTAATATAATTATTGTCACAATTGTATAACTATTAAGACATTTACTATAAGATAATTTATTTGATATCTTATTTTTGATCAAAAAATGTACTTTTCATTAATTTTGATTTTATGGCCAAAAATTAATGTAAATATAGTAAAAGTGCAAAACTATTGTTTAAATACAAAAGTGATTTAACGCTGAGAACAAAATATTGAAAATTATATTATATGTTATTTTCATTCAAAATAAACGAATTATTTTAATTTTATTGAATTTTGTCATTATTTTATATCATTGGTTAATCTCATGTACTATTGATTACAATAGGAATTCAACAGAATATTACTCTAAATATGATATTCTGTTGACCACAGATGGCAAAAGTGGTTTGTAGAATACATGATGGTATTTGTGGCGATTGTATCAAAATGACCAATATCACCTATTTATGATTAAAATATCCAATTTCACATTTATTATATTGGGTGCAATTACAACATAACTTATTACGAGTTACATAATATATGGTACAATTTTGTGAAACAATATAAGACTTGTGTATCATATTTCATATATGTTTGACTAAAACAATGAATGAATTGTTTATGAATGAGAAGAGGAATGAGATAACTTATAATTAGCACAAATATATTTAGAAATATATGAAATTCTGTATTAAATTACTTTCCAAGAGTTTTTTTGTTGCAAACTTTGCTGACATTGTTATAATATATGGACAGCTATTGCATAAAGCATCTAAAAATGCAAAGTTATTTCGGTAGAGATTTAGAAAGACTTGATTTGACAATAGATTTAACTTATCTCTGAATTCAGCCATAGTTTGCAGACAAGGGATAAAGGGATTGATGGACGAGAAAACACTTAAAACTGAAATACGATAAAGTTTTGAAAGAATTGACACAACTTTAGAAGAATATACCTAAAGAATCAATATTACTGTCACAACAGATCAATATTATGCGTGAAATTGGATATACTGTACCGTATTTGGAAAAATATTAAATTATTTTAAATTGTAAATAATATACATAATGTAGATTTTATAAACATTATAAATCATAATTTCAAATATAACGTTCAATTTGAAAAGAGATACAAAATTATCAATATTTATATAATATAAGCGAGTATCAGATTAATCCTTAGGGCGCCAGCAGTTGAACAGTATTTAAACACAATTATTGATCGATTAAATTAATGGATCAAAACATATCACAACAATATATTTGGTCCAAAACATAGATATATAACACTATTTTGTTTTTAGAAATTTATGCTAATTTAATAATAGACGTGAAAACAAACATAATATATAATTTAATAAATGTTTATTTAATTTAATAATGAAAATGTGTTTTAGAGAAAATTGCAAATAATATATATTTTTTCATATTTAAAAACAAATAGAAAGTTGAAAATGAAATATAAAATTAATTTAAGAATAATTTTTAATCCAATTATAAACAACTGATAAGAAGAAGAAAGTGAACAAACCATACGAAGAAATACCAAAAATCTGTGATCATATCTCTCATTAAGAAGTGATGAGTAATCCTCTGAACGTCTTCCAGAACCCAGACTCTCATCGACGACAACAAAAAAAAAGTTTGTTAATTACAAAACGAAGTGATAATTAAAATAAAACCAAAAAACGGTGAGCAAAAAACTCACTCCCCTTTTCTCTCTCTTTCTCCCCAAACGAGAAATTAACGAATCGATGGCTAATTACTGTCTAATAATACTGAAGATAATCCTAATTATACTGAACCTAATGGTAATCATTCCGCTGTCATTCGCGTTGACATCGACACAGCTGTTCAGTCTGGAGATTGCGGCGATATTTGTGCTGATTTCGGCCAATTATGTGATCGCCATCATTGGTGTGGTTAACGAGCATTTGATCACAATTATTGTGACCAATTGTGTCACAACAATCATACTGTTTATCGAGTTATTGAAATTATATCCCACTTTTGTATTCTACTATTTTGTCTTTTTGATGATCTTCTCGTTCATATACATCACAACCATCATTATCTGCCGCACCTATTACTCCCTGTCCAGTCAACGCCGCACTTCCGCCACAATGGTTGTGGTGTATCGGCCGCCGCATCCGCCGCCGCCCCACTACTCGATGCCCATCTATGAGCCCACTATAGACTCGTTAGCAATCGATGAGAACAAGTCTTTGCCGCCGCCCTATCAAGAAGACAGACCCCCTCTCTATGAGGACTGTATCGAGAATTATTGATTGCAAACTCCAATCAATTAAATGTCTGTTTAGAGAGAAAAGAGAAATAATGTTTCAAACATAAAGTGAATGTCCATTGGATTCAATCCAAACATTATATCGTTTAACCGCAAAAGTCTTCCTTCCAATAAATTCACAATCATTTGTATTTTATAGTAGTTTTCAAATCATCTAAAATAGTGTTTAAAACAGTATAAGTTTTAATTAGAAATTAATTAAATTGAATATTTATTGTAAAACAAAATTATAAATTACAAATATAGAGAGTGCTCTCGAAGTGCGATTGAAGTGCTAATTAAAGTGATATAAAAATGCAATTTCATTAATACAGTATATAAATTATCATAATCATTATTACATTACATAAGGTTTGAACAAAAATAATAATAATAGTAAAAATAGTCTAGTTAAACATATTTATATTATTGTTATAATTAGTCTTTATATCAATAGATGAGTGCTTTATGCAGAATAATTGAATTACTGATTGTACAAAATAACTTAATTAATAAAATTAAATTAAATCATACAAATAAAGCGTATATATAGTGATGGATTTTATAATAAGGAAGGTAATTTTAATTTAGGATTTTTAGGGTAAATAACAAATATGTAATTATTTATGAAAAAATCTAATAAATAATGTGAAAATTTAAAATTGAACAGTTGTGTTGATTGTGTGACCCATTCCTGTCTATCCTGTACTCCCATTCAGAATCGTATTGTAAATTGTATGAACTCTAGCGCTAACAACAAACTCACATCCATTTGGTATTGAATACAGAAATCTGTCTCTTATTTATACAGTTATTGTATTGACTTTAAAACTTCATTTGCTTTGCAAATAAAACATAAATAAAATTTGCGAATAAAAATCAATGCAAACGAGACGTGGAGTTAGGAATTATAATATAAAATAACAAAATTGAATCCAATTTATGTAAACATTGAGAGAAGAATATAATATAATCCCTTCATTCCTATACAGTGTATATTATGGAAACAAAACTGTATTATTCTTAATCAAACAAAAATTATAATAAATTTATATGACTATAATTCACTTCCCACTTACACTAACTCTTACAGTGTTTTAATAGATAATTAACACAACATTTTTAGTTTTGTGCGATAAATCCCTTATCGGTATAAACAGCCCGAAAACAAATACACGATTTCTGTATTTGTTTTCAACAGAATTAGTGAAGAGATGTGTATTTCTCACACACATTGACATTACTCTCGCAATTCTTTGCCCAAAAGTAAAGTAATTCTTGGAAATAAGAAAATATTGATATTCTCTTATTTTATTTCATTATTTATATATAAAATTTGTTTTGAAAAATTTATTCTTATTTTCATCACAGAGAGAGAGAGAGAGAGAGAGAGAGAGAGAGAGAGAGTTCAAACTAAAGAGATATACAAATTGAAGCAAAAGTAAACTTTATGGTTCAATCAATACACCGGTATTTGCGCCTAATTTTGATGAATTATTTATTTCTGTGAATGAAGAATATTCTGGATGTGATTTTGTGCTGAATATTCACGAAATAACGTCTAAAGTAGTAGTTGTTTGCAAATATACAGTAAATATATAAAACGATATATTAAAAACACTTAAAAACTAAAATGCAAAAACAGTGTGTGTTGTGTATAAATTCATACCAAATATTGTGCCAAAACAGAACCTATTATGCAATCTATTATAATAGTGAACGCATTCATCATAAGAAATGTTAGTCTTCTTTCCCCTCTTCTTCTCCATCTCCTTAAACATAATCAAACAAATGCATGAAAAACAAGGGAAAAACGCTTAAATATTTTTGGCAAACAATTTAATGCATTTTGTAATAAATTTGCAAATATATGAGTGAATGAAGAATGGAAATGAAGATTACGGTTAAATATTTTCCGATTCTCTTACAACAAAACGTAATGTGTTTTTCATGCGATTTCCCTATGAATATACTGTACTGTACTGTACTGTACTGTAAGCCGCTTTCCATTATTTGAGTTGTTTTCTTGTATTTTTAAATAATTCATAATAAATATAAGACAAACACAATAGGAATAGAGAAATAAAACACCGATAAAAGAAACGGATTTCAGCATTAGTTTTATTTCTGCCTGTTTTTTGTCGCTTTGTTTTTACTCATTCATGTGTCCAACAAAACGAGGTTTAATTTATTGCATTAATTCATATGAATTTCAAACGCAAAAATGTGCATAATTTTTATTAATATAATAATATGTACTGTATATCGGATACTGTCATACGACTGATTGTATATTATAAATATAGTGTAGATTTGATTCATAAAATCCAATTTATTAAAAATTTTTATTCAATTATTTACGAGAAGTGAATTTCTATTTTATAACTAAACCCTCGTTTATATTAGTTCTCAATAGGAGAGAGAGAGAGAGAGAGAGAGAGAAGAGAGAGAGATGTCAAAATATTTTGTGGTATAACCACTGCATTGAATAAATGGTTATTTATATAAACCGTAATTTATTGATCAAATTTAACCGAAATTTTTTAATTGTTGGTTTGTTGTGAAACTGTATTTATTGACCTACAAATCAATGCCATCCATTTGTCTGTATGTCTTGTGGTTCCCGAGTAATCTTCTCCCGAAGATGTCGACTTCCGAAATAACTTTGGCAATGTTATCCAATGGGAATCAATATTTTTGGAAACTAAAAGTGGCCAAATTATTTAATTGGCCGGATCAAATGTTAACATCTATACCGAAATGTTATTTTCTTTATCGAATCTTTGAAACAAGTAACTTTGGCGCATCTTATTATTTCGAATTCTAAAAGTGCCATGGTCATTGTGCCAAACCGATTTCGGGACTTTACCTCTTCGGGAGAGGATTACTCGGGAACCACAAGACATACAGACAAATGGATGGCATTGATTTGTATGTCAATAAATACAGTTTCACAACAAACCAACAATTAAAAAATTTCGGTTAAATTTGATCAATAAATTACGGTTTATATAAATAACCATTTATTCAATGCAGTGGTTATAACCGACTGAATAGGGAAAAGATATTTATGAATAGTTTAGTCTGAATGTGAATTCTCTCTCTT